AACAAACATATATCTATAGAATTAACAGATTTAATTTTTTTTGTCCTGCATATTTTTATTACTTCAAACGTTATTATTTTTAGACGATACTCGTATTTGAGTAGATATACTGTTCATTTTAAACAGAGTTTATTTCGTCTGAGAAAATTTATTAAATAAAATATACAGAAGGAATATTCACGGGTTAAAACTAGTAAACTGTAATTTTCGGAAGTAAAAATTCACTGAAATATATTAGACATTTTCCAAGTTTTCATCTGAAATCAAGAAAATATCAACTTTAAATAAAATGGTCACTGTATAACGAATAAAAAGCAAGTACAAGTGTAAACATTCAAAAAACGCTTTCACAGATAACGTGATATAAGTCAAGGTAAATAAAATATAAATATAAATAAATGTTTTATTATTCAGTGTTTAATTATGTTATAAAAAAAATTCATTGTGATTTCCGATTCAGACGAGTCAACATTCTACAAATATTTGAACCTATCACGTCAAACGCGAGAAATCACGAGATCTGGCAGAATTTCAAAATGTTGGGCATTTAAGATTTTCTCCTGGGAAATCTAACTCCATTCAATGAAGTGGTTGTTAATTTCTTACCCTTATTTCCTGAACATTTAGCTGAATCATCCTCCATGCTGTCAATAGATATTGTAAATTAATTCTTTCTCCCGGCTACAGCCATTTTAGTGACAAAGAACGCATTCTCTCCATTGCTATTCCTACGCTTAGAAGAAATACTAAACTAATCCATCATGTCACCCACCAGACAACGCTTATCAAGGCTTTGAGATAATTTAAGTACCACGGCGAAATGTAGGTTTATTTTGATATAATTTAAATATTTCAAGGGTGGGGGTATGGTTGATAATGGATTATTCTAGAAACTATAAATAGATATATATTAATCTTTTCACTCCAGGCAAATTTATATTGCTACTAAGACGCTGAGTGTGCAGGCAATAGCAACAAATATGGTAAAAAGGAAGAAGATGACCTGTGTCATTGCATTTGAGGTTTGAACTTCGTAGGAGACACGGCCGAGTAATAGATAGTGGTTCGAATTGAGGAATCGGAGAGCAGAGTTCAAATTCCAGTCAAATCCATTACATTCTCATGGGAAAGGTATGAATGCTCTTCTCCTTCCAGCTATGGGTAAATAGCAGGAAAGACCGGGTTCTATAGCCTTGGGTGGAAACCAGTCTAGGAGAAGGAATAAACTCTGTATTCAAAACAGGCCTGGAGAGGGCTGGACTCCGTCAGGCTATCTTGCCCAAGAAAAGTCACTTCTACTGTGGCTGCAGTGTATAAGACGTGACTTACTTTAAAGATAAGTCGTATTTGAAATAATTTATTAAACAGTTGCAAACATGGTACCATTACTAACCTACGGGTCACGGGATAAAAATAAAAAAAAAAATTCAATATACCTATTTTATTTAGAATCCAAGAAAACATTAAATTTTTGAACCCGTTTGAAAAGAAGTGTTAAGAATTAAGAGCTTACAGATAAGACGCACCGGTGTATAAGATGTGACTTTATTTTGAAGATAAAGAAGCTAGATGCGAATATGAAATGATTTATTAAACAGCAAACTGATGCGAGTAAAATTTATTAATTGTGTTATACTAAATATTGTCTTTGCTCGCCAGAATCTATCTACTATGTCTACCATTTGTCCATGCATTAAATATTTCTCCTACATCTGATCTGGTGCTCCTGTTGTATATTTAGAGATTCTTGATAAAATCCAAAGAAGAATCTGCAATGTTATTAGTCCTCACCTGGCATCTCAGCTTCAGTTATTTTTCCACTGGCGTAATGTAGTTTCTCTTGTCTTTTCTAGAAATACTTAATGGTAATTGTTCTGGTGAACTTTCCTCTATGTTAACTTAGCTATGGGATGTATGCTCATAGACCTCTTTTATTTGTGTCCTCTCTTTCTTTAGCTTAATTCCCCATCCCCCGTTAAGTGACAGAGATGTCAGTTCTCAGGTCGATGCGGGCGCTTTTCGTTTTTCGAGTGTGTATTACGTATTGGGTTTTGTGTTTGAATCAGTGTCTGTTTGAATGAGTGATTGGTCGAATGATTGTATTAATTAACTAGTCCTGCATTAATTTCGTCCAGTTAATTGATTTTTCTGCCAAAATTAAGGATTGTGGTGGTTTTTATCATTTTCTTTTGTTTCTTGTATATGAATTGTATTCATTGTAAATATACATTGTGGTTTCATTGTTAAGTGTAATTATTGTAGATATAGGAACTAGTTAGGACTTCATAGAGACTCTAAGGTATTATGGTGGCTGTTGTAAGAATGGCAAGTCAGAATGTGTTGTTTTGATACAAGGAATAATGTGGTAAGTTTGGAGCAGTAATTATGGCTAGCTAAGTTTAAGATAGGAAAGTTTGTTGAATAGCAGCCTTCCTCTATCGACCCTTTTGGCCTTGTGCCACATTTTTGCATTAAAACAAAATAAATATTACTTTCCTCTATATTACCTTGATTTTATGAATTTAAGCGCAGTACTAGATTGGCGGTTAAGTCTCATCATTTTACAGTTGAAACCGTAAGTTCTATGCTTATGGTTTCTTCACGCGTATGGTACTCCGTTCCGACTTCTTGCTTTCCAGTCAAGTTTGATCTTTAAAAATTTAAATGCAACGTCAAACATTGTATATTTGTCTTAATAATTCCTGTTCTTTTACTGCTCTCTCTCTCACTCTCTCTCCCCCCCTCTCTCTCTCCTTAATAATGTTTTTCTTTTACTCATATTCTTTCACACACAGTAACCTGTAGCTTTATTGACTTGCTTGATGAAAAAAAGGTTTCTAACACTGTAAGCAATAGTTGGTATATCTTTGCTGCCATTTGTCTTTTCTCACGAACCTGATATTCCTTATGACTAGCGAGATTTCCTTACCTACATCTTGCTTCCCCGTCAACGCCGATCTTCAAAAATTTAAATGCAATGTCAAACGTTATCTTCTGTCTTCTTAATTCTTGCTCTTTTATTGTCCTCTCTCCTTAATAGTAGTTTTTCTCATATTCTCTAACACTCAGTAACCCCTTCCGTCCTAGTGGCTTTATTGCCTTTGATCTTCAAAAATTTAAATGCAATGTTAATCGTTATCTTCTGTCTTCTTAATTCTTGTTCTTTTATTGTCCTCTTTCCTTAATAGTAGTTTTTCTCATATTCTCTAACACTCAGTAACCCCTTCCGTCCTAGTGGCTTTATTGCCTTTGATCTTCAAAAATATAAATACAATGTCAATCATTATCTTCTGTCTTCTTAATTCTTGTTCTTTTATTGTCCTCTCTCCTTAATATTAGCTGTTCTCATATTCTCTAACACTCAGTAACCCCTTGCGTCCTAGTGGCTTTATTGCCTTTGATCTTCGAAAATATAAATACAATGTCAATCATTATCTTCTGTCTTCTTAATTCTTGTTCTTTTATTGTCCTCTCTCCTTAATAGTAGTTTTTCTCTTATTCTCTAACACTCAGTAAGCCCTTTGCGTCTTAGTGGCTTTATTGCCTTTGATCTTCAAAAATTTAAATGCAATGTCAATCGTTATCTTCTGTCTTCTTAATACTTGTTCTTTTATTGTCCTCTCTCATTAATAGTAGTTTTCTCATATTCTATAAAACTCTTGCGTCTTAGTGGTTTTACTGCCTTGCTTGGGGTGAAATGATTAAAAAAAATCTTTTCGTTGCAGGCAAGGCGATAAAACCATTGTGACATACTTTTTACTTAAAGTGAAGAAAGAGAGAAAATGTTACTGGGGAGAATGGACAATAAAACGAACACCCTCCCCTGACCCCTGACCCCTGACTCGTGCCTTTCGTCTGACTGAAACATTGAAATGTATAAATTCTCTATTAGTTTTTCGACGTTTTTTTTTTCTCTTTTTTTTTTGTAGTTGTCACAGTTAAATTTCTAATTCCGACACGAACTCAGTCTATACCGGGGTTGAATAAGACTGACGAATTTTTCGTCACTTGAAAGAAGCTTATTCTCCATATGAGGTAATTTGGGATTTTATTGCGTACCAATTATTTGCTTTGTAATAAATACACTGAGCTCCTTTTGTGGATCAATTTTAATATTTGATATTATTAAGATTCACTTGGATTATATATCAACGGATTTATTACATTTACTATATACATAGTGGACTCGCCTATCCTGAAAGATTAATGATGGTCAGCATTGGATAGTGCCTTTCGTTTTACACTTATGCATGCTAGCAGGGGCTGTTGTGGAGAAAATCAGGTAAAGAAAATATATATTTCAGTTGTGCTTTCTTAAGTGTGATACTAGCCCAGCCTTGCTGTGGGCGACAAAGCCACACTGACAGAGGGAATTTGTTAAAGCAGGATTTTGATGGCATCTCTGCTTCCGAGCTTGACAAAGCTGATCACGTTGCTTCAGTTTACTGTCTTCAAAAGCCTTTAACTTAAGCCACTCCTTTCGGTTTGATACTTAGGCTTCGCAGGTTTTCAGATCAAAGTTGAGACGTTTCAAGTTTTCTTTCAATTTGTTTTTGTAGCCTAAAATTGGACGTCCAACTGAACACTTGGAGTTTGGTAGTTGTCCATACAGGATCTTCTTTGAAAGCCTATGCTCATCCATTCTCACAACATGACCACAAAATACATTGAGCTCTTTTTGGGGATCAGTTTTAATATTTTATATTACTAGGATCCACTTGGATTATATGTCAACGGATTTATTACCTGTACTATATATATATGATGGACTCTCCTATCATGAACGATAAATGATATTCAGCTTTGAATTGTGCCTTTCGTTTTACACTTATGCATGAAAGGAAGGGGTATTGTGGAGAAAATCAGGTAAAGGACAAACTTATTTCAGTTGTGCTTTCTTAAGTATGAAGACAAAGCCACACTGACAGATGAAATTTGTTAAAGCAGGATTTTGATCGCGTCTCTGCTCTGATTGGATGTGCCGGTAGAAATGACTTACATCCACATCAACTTGGAACACAAGTTCCCGTACGATCACCGAAGTTAAGCAACGTCGATCCCGTCAAGTACAGAGATGGGTAACTGTTTGGGAATACCAGGTGCTGTAAGCTTAACAAAGCTGATCACGGTGCTTCAGTCTACTGTCTTCAAAACCCTTTAACTTAATGAAATATGACTTATGCCACTCCTTTCGTTTTGATGCTATCGTTTCCAATATATCAGGTCATCCCATAAGTTCTGTCTGAATTTTAACTTTTTGTGAAAATGAACGAAATTTCAAGAGTATTTTATAATGTCTAATGGAGCTGAACATTATTTTTATGTTTAGATGCATTTAAACTAATCAAATTTTATTTCAGAGAACAATAAAATTAAATTTTGTTTGATTAAATCCCTGTTAACATGGAAGTACCCAAGAATCATTTGAGGCACATAATGCTTTATGAATTCAAGAAAGGAAACTCAGCAACCGAAGCGGCTAGAAACATTCACTCAGTTTATGGAGAGGAATGTGTGAATGAAAGAACTTGCAAAAGATGGTTTGCAAAATTCAGAAGTGAAGATTTCATCCTTGAAGATGAAGATCGAACTGGACGTCCAGTTGAGTATGATGAAAAGCTTCTTGAAGCAGCCCTTGAAGAAAATCCTGCTTTATCAGTTGAGGAATTGGCAGTGGTTCTCAGTTCAAACCATAAAACTGTTCATCGTCATCTTCAACAACTTGGAAAAGTTCTTAAACTTGGAAAATGGGTGCCTCATGAATTGTCTGAAAACAACCTCAAATCCCAAGTTGACATCTGCTCTTCTCTCCATTCTCGCCAACTTCTTTCACCTTTTTTGGATAGACTTGTGACTGGCGACGAAAAATGGATCTTTTATCGAAATGTTAAGCGTCGTAGACAGTGGCTTGGTAAAGGGGAAGGACCCCAGCCACAGCCGAGAAGGGAACGTCATGGTCAAAAGGTTCTTCTTTCAATCTGGTGGGATCGCCAAGGAATAATCCACTTTGAATTCTTATCACCTAATGCAACAATTAATGCTCAAATATACTGTCAGCAATTAGAGCGTTTGAACCAAGCTTTGAGGAAAAAAAAAGACCTGCTCTAGTGAATCGAAAAGAGGTGATGTTTCATCAGGACAATGCGTGACCACACACAGCAAGAATCACGTCATAAAAGATCGAAGAACTTGGTTGGAAGAAAATTCCTCATCCACCTTATTCTCCCGATCTTGCTCCATCAGACTACCATTTGTTTCGTAGCTTACAGAATCATTTGGAAGAAACAGGTTTTGTAACACAGGAAGAGGTTAAAACTGACATTTGTGAGTTCTTCGAATCAAAGCCAAAAGAATTTTACAGTAATAGAATTAGTAAGCTTGTTAATAGATGGAAGGAAGTCATAGATAATCAGGGAAAATACATTGTTGATTGAATCTGTAATTAAATGTAAGATTTGGTCACTTGTTTTCAAAATTCGGACAGAACTTATGGGATGACCTGATATATGCATATTGTGTGTGTACGTGTGTGCATGTATGTGTGTGTACTCACGCCCTAATATTTGGATTTTACGGTGTTCTATTCGTGTCTGTTATATTTTGAAAACGGGTTCAGGGTCTGTCTACCTCCCCGGACGAAACTTTACCTTTCGGCAAAACCTCGTCCCGGTTACTCACTGCTCGAGGCAGAGAGTTGGACAGATGAACAATATATTCACTGTTAATATTTAACAGCCCCCACAAGCCGAGTTTACCGTGGGTTCTCCGAGCCCGTAGGCTCGGCCGAAAATATTCCCTTTTGAACCCGCATAAACAGGTTCAGGGCCTGTCTACCAAAGCCTCGTCCGGGTTCCTCTCTGCCAAAGATAGAGAGTTCGACAGCACAGTCCGAACAGATCTATTAGGCTCTGTGTGTGTGTGTGTGTTTGTGTGTGTACTCCCGCCCTAATATTTGGATTTTACGGAAGAATGCGTAACTCTATTATCTGAATATATAAGCCAGCGTGGGTGTGAGGGTTAGTGTTTCCCATTCTGATATTAAAAACAACTCATAGGAAATATAAGTATTTATTCAAATATACAGGGAAAATAGATACAAATTATGTAAGTCTTTGTGCCCGTCTGCTGGAAATGCAGACAACTTGCGCCCACACTTCCTCCATATTTCTGTCAGATGACTCGTCAAGTTGTTTACACTTCCGGTCTGCGAGGAACGCTTCAACAAGATTCACTGTTGCCAGCAACAGGGAAAATCTTTCTCTTTCTTTCTTTCTTTTTTTTTTTTTTTTGAAAAGGCACTTCCGTTTTCTTTCATTTTTTTTTTTGTACTTTTGCTTTCATTTTAGTTTGTCTCTAGTTATATTTTTTATCTACAAAAATCACAAATAATGAAACAAATAATAGTTAATATAAAACAATAAAATATCCGCTCCAGGTACTCTAACGAACCTTCGTCTCTTACAGAGTTTTATATAGGTACCTCCAAAGATTCGCTAAAAAAAGAGCATACCATTATGAAAAAAATGCCCGAATCTTAATAAAAACAAAATATTTATATATCATACTTATTATAAAACCCAGGTTGTGTGTGTGTGTGTGTGTGTGTGTGTGTGTATCTGTACGTTTATATATTGGATCGGATTTCCTACATTTTTCAACCGATTTCAACAAAACTTCACAGGACTACGTTAAATTACCTTGCGGTGGTCCTGACAGCGCCAAAAATTGGAAAAACATAATTGTTTTTGCACGAAATCAATTTCAACACGATTAAGAGACATCGCTGGCGCGATAATGAAAGAGGGACAACTAATATCGAGTTGTACTTATTATAAAACCCAGGTTGTTTGTGAGCCTGTGTCTGTGTTCGTTTATATATGGGATCGGATTTCCTACATTTTTCAAACGATTTCAACAAAACTTATTGTCTTGCACACTTTTTTCTTTATTTTTACATTCAGAAAGCTTTAAAAATTCCATTTACAAGACAATTGTTTATAATAAAATTCTATTCAATCGGTAGACTCATAACGATTGAAAACAATGTTTTTGTTTGAGTTTGGATTTGATCAATTCATAAAAAAAACAAAAACAAAAAAAACAAAACTAATTAAGACATGCGTGTCCGTCAACCTTAAACAATAATCTTTGTCAATCTTATTTTTCAGTCTTTATGATGGTCGATACTTGATCTATCTCTTACTGTTACATCCCCGGGCAACGCCGGGCTCTACTGCTAGTTATTAATAAAAGGAAAGACCAAAGGTTTTTTTTATTATTATATTATATTTTTTGTTTCTTTTTAGAAGGTTCGAAATTTTGGTTAAAAATTTTGTCTTTCTAGCCTCATGGGGGTTGGGTGGTTCAAAGATTAGTATAAGAAAATTAGCCTTTTTTTTGCAATGCAAAAAACATTGATTTGAAAATTCTTGAGAAAATCAAAAAATGGTTGGATTTTAATGAAATCTTCAAGACATATTCAGAAATGAGTGAATTTATTTTTAGAAATGTTTCTTTTTCAGAAAATCTTGGTAAAATCATTTTTCACATCTGTTACAAGAAATTAATTTTTATATCGGTTAATTAGAGTCTGTCTATATTTCTGAGATGAGGTATTATGTACATTATTTACATTATTATTCGGACTATTGTCCTCATCTTTGTCGCCATATTTATCACAACGTTTCGGCCGTTGTACGCTCCGGCCTTCTTCAGGTGGTTGGAATGTCGAACTGAACCCTTTATTTTGCTCACTGTGGTAGACTGTTCTAGTTCCACGTTCTAGTTGATAGATGTCTGTTATCAGTTATCTCCTATTAATTTCCCTCTGAAAGTTCTCCACTGCCTTAACCGGGTATTGAACTCACACACTTTGGGTCCTGTCACTGAATCTAACCAACGCCTTTATCCAGTGTGCCATGTGTCCTTGAGGAAGTACAACGGCCGTAACGTTGTGATAAATAAGGCGACAAAGATGAGGGCAATAGTCCGAATAATAATGTAAATAATCGCTTAAATAGTTATCCGCAGAAATCCTTGGAAAATTTAAATCATCAATTTCTTTTTTAAAACAGGTCCCCGAGTTACTGAAAATCTCTGAATATATTTTACAAAATTCAATGAAACTAAGGCATTAATTAATTAATTAGAAAATCTTTTAATTGCTTTCATGAATAAGATATATTATGGAAACTATTGTCTTATAAAAAAAAAAATTCCGATGAAATTTTACAAGAATTGTTTTAGTATAGAATATATTTATTTGGAATAATTTATAAAGTTTGTAATCTTTTAAATCCCTGTACAGGCTAGGTGATATTTTCATTAAGTAAAAACTATATTTATTAAGCTTACTACAATTCATCGACTCCCAATATTTTATAAAGAATTTTGAATCTTTTGTGTTTGTATAAACGTGTCAATTTTTGTAAATGCGGACGTCCTTACATTATCAAAATAAGAGCAATAACTATAGTAAATTTAAAGCCAAAGTACCTGAAATTCAATAAAATATTATAGATTACGGAAAATATTTTCCTAGATTTTAAAGATTTCTGGATATTTAAAAATGATATAAAAATGGCGCTCACGTTATATTCTTCAACTAAATTTTACAGATATGTTGCACGTAGAAAAAAATAGATAAACTTCCATCTCTCAGTCAAGCTGTCATCATGTCCACACCTCAGATAAACACCTACCACAGTGTTAAAAATGATTTTCTGCGATATTTTAAGCTAAATGTAATATTTGTTTCAAATCAAATTAATTCAACTTTAAAAGGCTAATATTCCTCAAATAAAGTTTCAGAAAAGAATATTTTATTTTTGAAAGATTTTTCTAATAAAGAGAATTATATTCTGCTGACAGATGACTAAATCAACACTAAAATCAGTGATTTTTAACGATTAAAAAAAATTATTTCCAAACAATTTAAATTAGTTTTGAAATGCTACAAGTATTTTGCTTATTGGAAATATTAAATTTAATCTATAAGCTTCAATTTAAAACTAAAATAAAAGCTTCAAGAAAGATTTTTCATTTTTTAAAATTCATTTTAATCCTTAGGTATCGCGTTTCTGTGGAGGTACCTATAAAAATTTTATATA